GATAAACATAGGACTGGGAACCACAGAGTTGGGGGCTCGAGCCCACCAGTTGCTCCACAGAAAGGTAGGCTTTCTGCTTCCACAAATATTTTTAAAGCCTCCAAAACCCTATACAGGGTCACTATGTGTTAGAACCAACCCGCTGGTACTTAGCACCAACACTATATAATATAAATACATTCCAGAAACTGCTTCAGGCAAGGCTGGATCTAGGTGTTTGAGCTATGCCCTCAGGATTAGATTTCTCCTCTTTACTTGGCTCAGCTTCCCTCACAGCTGACTTATTCTTAAGGAATAGGACCATCAGGAACTTGAGACTCACATCTTCCTGACTTGGCCACCCCAGGGGAGAGAGGGCTGCCCACGAAAGTCCCCGGGTTGCTAATGATTGACCAGGGTTATGGGAAAGGAGAGGGGAACAACATTTCAGTTCTCAGAGCCCTCAGCCCGAGGCTGGGAAACTGTGCAGAACTCAGTCACAGAAAGACTTCAAATGATGGCAGGAGATGGCCATCCTGCCTGGAGATCTGCCACAGGAGCCCCTATCCTGAAATGCTTGGGGCCTGGGTCTCATCCCCACTCCCTGGAAGCCCCTCTAGAGCAGAATGTCCAGACATGCATGTAGGGGTCGCCATGCAGCCAAAGCTGTCCCAGGGGCACAGGCATATCCTAGTTCATGGAGACTGAAGGTGGGGAGATGAAGACCTCAGGGAGACTGGGAAGGACCGAAGAAGCCCTGACCGGTCCTTCTGAGACACATCATCTCCCCTGAGACGGGGGAGGAGAGTACAGCCTAGAGGAAACCAAGGCCGCTTGTGGGGGCTCATCTGAAGGGGGTGCTTAGCTCTGAGTCTCCCCTCCACCCCTTCTGCACACTCACCCAGGTTCAGGATGACCCCTTGGGTGGAAGCTGGATGGAGTCCATCTTGCTGTCCCTTCTGAAGTGCCCCAGAGTCCACCTCTTCTTCCTCCTTCTCAGCCTCCTCACCTTTGTTCACCTGTGTTCACCAGAGACCTGCCTCCCAACCCTCCCCCATCAAAATCCCTTCAAGACCCCTCCCATATGTGTCCTCCTCAGAGCCCCTGCCCCGCCCACACTCTCTGTGCCCTGTCCTGTCATTTAACAAAACTCCCCATTGTTTGAGCACCCACTGTGTGCTGACATCCACACAACAGCCCTCAAAAGTGGATTCGAATTTCACCCATTTTACAGATGAGGAAGCTGAGGCTCACAAGGTCTGTTCAAAGATAAACCCAGGCTTCAGGTGGCTACAGCCAGTCCTCTGTGCCCTCTGTCCCCCGCTTATGTGGTTTTGTCCACCAAATCCTCAGCTGTCCCTGTCCACCATCCTAGGGAGTGCCCACATGTGGAGAGTGGATCCAGGACTGTGTCCATGGGCAGGGCAGTGCATGGCAGCCTCCCAGCCCAGAAGCAACTTCCAGACCCTGTCCCAGCCCTAGCCCCATGCTCCAGCCAGAGCCCGCGGGGGATGCTCTGCTCCGTAGGGCCCAAGGTACTGTGGACAACGTGACCGCCTGGCAAAATTGGCTTTCGAACAGAACTAGGCCTCTGCCCTGAGACCAGAGCTCCAGAGCAGGGTCACACCTCCCCTCTCAGACAGAATGTCCAGGGCAGGGTCGCTCCTTCCCCCTCAGACTGGGCCCCCAGGGCAGGGTCACACCTCCCCTCCTCAGATAGGACTCCCCGGGGCAGGGTCACACTTCTCCTTCAGACTGTAAACAGCCCGTGTGACCCATTTCACAGATGTGGTTGACCCAGGTCCCTATCAGAGCAGGACTAGAACCCAGGTTTCTATGGCCCTGCTGCCTCCTAGCCTGGACCGCTGAGGGCCAGGCCACGCTGTCCCCACATGACGCAGAACTCCATCCTCCTTCGCGGCAGGACATCGCCACTTCCCCTCAGTCCAGGCTATATTTAGACACTACGTGGGAGGGAGGCGGGCCTGCCATGCCCGCCCACCAGTGGGTGCCCACCCACCCTCAGAGCAGGGCTCATCTCTGGATGGGGGTGGGGTGGATGGAGAAGTTATAACCCCTTCGCACCCTCCGCTCCACATGGACCAACTCTGAGAATCAACCCAGTTGCGGAAAGAGAAGCAAGAAGGTTCTGTGTTGACATGGTTTCAACTAGTATTCCACTCCAGCTCCTGGCAGCCTCGTGTGTCCGAGTAGAACTCTGTTCCACAGGTTGGTTGGTTCTGAAGGAGATTGCCAGCTCTGTATCCTGAGGCACCTTCAGGTGGAACAGAATCTCCAATGTTTGGGTTACTTGTGCTACCCAGGGATCGATTGGTGTCATCAGTTCTGGCTCCTGGTGACTTGTGTCTGTCAGAGAACTGTGCTTCAGAGGAGAGGTTCAAAGATTTAGTAACAAACCTGCAGTTCCTAGTGCTGAGTGGGGGCCGAGCCCAAGCCACACTTCCACCCTCAGTTGGGAAAGATGGTTGCTGTTGTCAAACTGGCCCCAGCCTTGAGAGCTGTGCCCTTGACCGGGACCCCACAAGGTCCTGGATCCCTTTTCTGTGGGTACATGGACAGCAGGTGGGGCTAGGTGTGGACAGTGGGAGAAGGGCAGGCAGGGATGGGTAGGGGTCACTGCTGAAAGGCCAGGGTGCCTGTTGGACAGGTATACCCAAAAGTAGATGCAGAAGCAAGAGGGGGATGTTGGAGCTGAGGCCATAGAGATCAACAGGAAATCAAGGCCCAGAGAATGTCCTTTTTGAGGCCACAAGGGGGCTGCTCAACCCAGCTCCTCCCTATCACCAGGCCATCCCACCCAGAAGGCCCACCTCCATGCAGGGGACTGCGATGTCACCCTTTAAGTTCCCCCTCCTTCAAAACAAAGGACACCCCCAAGGGTTGGTTATTTGATATTAAATACTTCCAGCCACTGGGGTGGGGGTGTGTGACAAGAGTGCTGGGGAGTAGAGAAGCAGGGGCTTGGGGAATAGAGGACTAGGGTGTGGGAACAGAGCTAGACTCTGCAGAGACAAAAGGGAAAGAGATGAGTGGGTATAGAAAGTTCAGGTATGAGGACCTAGGCTGTGAACTTGTGTAAAACCAGGCTTAGGGTTCAGTATATGCTTGGGATCAGGTCTTAGTGTATGACTAGGATTGGGACTCAGTATGTGACCGAGATCTGGACTTTCAGTGTAACAAGGTTTGAGGCTCATTGTTTGATTAAATCAGGGCTTGTTTTTGGTTAGGGGCAGGGCTCAGTGTGTGACTGAGACCCAGAATCAGTGTGTAACTGGGAACAGGGCTCATGTGTGGGCAGGGTCAGGACTCAGTATATGACCAAGATCAGGGCTCAGTATATGACCGAGATCAGGGCTCAGTATATGACCGAGATCAGGGCTCAGTATATGACCGAGTCAGGGCTCAGTATATGACCGGGATCAGGGCTCAGTCTGTGACCACAGTCAGGGCTCAGTGTGTGGACTGGGACCTAGCCTCCATGTATAACAGGGATCAACTCTCATTGTTTGACTTGGACCAGAGCTCATGTGTAGTTAGGGCCTCAGACCAATACGGATCAGGGATCAGGGCTCAGTCTGTGACCACAGTCAGGGCTCCGAGTGTGACAAGACCAAGACTCACTGTTTGAGTACGATCAGTCCTAATGTGTGATCAGAGTCAGGGTTCAGCATCCTGGAGGCTTTGTTCTAGCTTGTCCTCAGTGTCCTGCAGGAACGCCCACCCTGCAGGCCACACAGCACTGGAGGCTGGGTCCCCTGGGCCTATCTCCAGAGGAAGGGAAAGCGGTTGTGACACAAATGTAGCCGGGTACAGACAAATCACAAAGTTGTGTAGCTTGCTGTCCTGTCCCCAGTGCCAGCTCTGGTCACGTCCAGCTGCAGGGGGTTGCCCATGGAGACTCACCTGCACAGTGGTCAGTATGAGCAGCATGTTCACCATATTCACAGCCCTCAGTCACCAGGCACGGATGTTAGTGGGAGGGAGCTTCATTCCCCTCCAAGTGGGGAGGGGGCATTGTGTTCCAGAGTCCTACCGGCTGCCCCTCTTCCCAGCCTCTCCCAAAAGGCCTCTCCTTTCTCCAGAAAAAAAGTCAGAAATGTCCTTATTTGGAGGGTCAGCCCTGGCTGGTGTGGGGGTGGGGTCCCTTTAACCCTTCATTTATAAATAAAGGACTAAATCATAGTGGAGTTAAACACCCAGAGGCAGGAACATAAACAGCAGATCGGGCCCCAGCCCAGCCCAGCCCCCAAGCCTGTGCCCCCTGCCTGTCTGCCCCCCACCCCTCACCCCCCAACCAGGGCAGCTTGAGGGAAATGCTGTGTTTATCTGACTCACACTGGCCGGCCCTGTCTCCAGACAGCCCCAGTGGGCCACCTCCCGTATAGGCCGGGTCTATAGCAGGGAGCCCGGTGAGGAACCCTTGTACTGCCCAGTGGGGCTGACTCCGACCCTCTATCCCTGAGCCTTATCTGGAGGAGGTGAGCACAGATGGGTGGCCTGGAGGATGGGGACTTTGAGGGCAGACCTGGCACTGTGGGTGGGCTGAGCATCTCTGAGCTTCCCACCCCGGATACCTTTGCCAGATTAGCTCACTACCCCCTCCCATCTGCTCGGAGGGAAGCAAGGCACAGAGACGTTAAGTGCTCGTCTGAGGTTGCACAGGGAGTAAGTGGAGGAATCTTGATTTAAGCTGGCGCCAGGGCCGTACATCCCAGAAGGGAGCTGGGGGTTTCTCAGCTCCGGACAATCCACAGGCAAGCCAAGAGCTGCCTCGTTCTTGTAGCTCAGGAATGCAGCTCAAAATGTAGTGTTTGACCAAGACCACACTGGTGAGAGGCAGGCTGCATCTGAGCCACACTGATCCTGGTCCCTGGGAGAGGAAAGCGGGCACCCCAGCTTGGGCAGAGGCGCGGAGACAGGAAACGTGGGGCATGGGTGGGTGGTGAACCGGTAGGGACCTCGGGGAACTCGGCTCCTTCCTTCCAGGCCCGGCCACCATCATGCCATCCGTGTCTCCTGTGGGACCGTCGGCCACAGTGGCACCCAATGTCACAGCTCGTCCCACGCCGGGGGCCAACAGCAGCGGGCCAGAGATGCCCCTGTTCCACCTATTCGCCAAGCTGGACGAGGAGCTGCACGCCTGCTTCCCACGCCTGTGGCTGGCGCTGATGGGGGTGCACAGTGTCATCTTCCTGGTGGGGCTGGTGCTCAACGGGCTAGCACTGTACGTCTTCTGCTGCCGCACCCAGGCCAAGACGCCGTCCGTCATCTACACCATCAACCTGGTGGTGACCGATCTGCTGGTGGGCCTGTCGCTGCCCACGCGCTTCGTCGTCTTCTACGGCACCCGCGGTTGCCTGCGGTGCGCCTTTCCGCACGTCTTCGGCTACTTCCTCAACATGCACTGCTCCATCCTCTTCCTCACTTGCATCTGCGTCGACCGCTACTTGGCCATCGTGCGGCCTGATGGTTCCCGCCGCTGGCGCCAGCCCGCCTGCGCCAAGGCCGTGAGCGCCCTCGTGTGGCTGGTGGCCGGCGCCGTGACCCTGTCCGTGCTGGGCGTGGCGGCCGGCGGCCGACCCTGCTGCCGCGTCTTCGCGCTGACGGTGCTGGAGTTCCTCTTGCCGCTACTGGTCATCAGCGTGTTCACCGGCCGCATCGTGTGCGCGCTGTCAAGGCCGGGCCTGCTGCGCCAGGGCCGCCAGCGCCGGGTGCGGGCCACGCAGCTCCTGCTTACGGTGCTTCTCATCTTCCTCGTCTGCTTCACGCCCTTCCACGCCCGCCAGGTGGCCGTGGCGCTCTGGCCGGACCTGCCACCCCGCGCCAGCCTCGTGGCCTACCACGTGGCCGTGACCCTCAGCAGCCTCAACAGCTGCATGGACCCTATCGTCTACTGCTTCGTCACCAGCGGTTTCCAGGCCACAGTCCGCGGCCTCTTCCACCGGCGCGGCGTCCAGTACCAGCCCAGCAGCGGGGAAGCGGTTCTCATGCACAAGAGCTCCAAGGCCTCGGCCCACCACATCCTGGGCGTCACCCGGGCCCTGGCCAATGGGCCGGAGGCTTAGGGGCCCAGGTTCCCTCAGGCGATCAAAGGTCAGGACTGGAAGGGGCTGTGCCAGGTCAGGAGCAGCCCAGACATCTGCTGTGCTGGGGGTGGCCAGTCAGGTTCATCCTGATGGACTCTGATGGGTACCCAAGCCCTGCATTGAGAGAGATCCGAAGGACCCGTGCTGTGGTTGATTAGCAATGTCTGCCACAGGCTTCGGCTGGACTGTAGTGGTCTGCGTGCCAATCACTTGCACTATGTCTACTGAACAATCAGTGGCGGTGGACAGGAGCTACTTCTCACCAGGACATTTTGCCCCCAGAAGGGGTACCCCAGAAAAAGGGACACAGAGTGTCCAGGTACTGGGAATCCCCAGGACAACTTACATCAGTGGTCCGTGATACAAAGTGCAGGGTCTTGTCTCTCTAGCACCCCTGCCCAGGACACCTGTGCCTTCACAAGATGGTGTGAAATCTATGAGGTGCTTTCCTGTGAGCACTGCAACATCTCAGATGGCACTTGGACCTGCAACAACCCCACAATAGGGTCTATTCCCACCTCACGGTGCTGGGGTTGTTGAGAGAACCAAGCAGATGCAGAACTGGGAGATGGTAGAGACAGAACCAGATACATCTTCACCTCCTCCAAAGCCTCCTGCCTCCCCTGTGGGTTCCACTCTGCCTGTTGCCCCATCCTTCAGACCGGAACCAGAACCTCCTAACCCAGGACCACCATGTCCCTGCTCCCAAGCTGGCTTTTCTCTGAGGAGAGAATGGGTCTCTTGACTTGGGCCTCAGATCACCACCTCCAAGCTGGACTCTGAGACCTCCCAAGAACCTTTTCCAGACTTGTGCATTAGGAGGGGTCTGTGGTGGAGGCAGGACTCGGTACAACAGTGCTTGCCTGTCACCACTGAAGCAGGTGATTTTAAGGAGCTGGAATAGGGGCCACAGGTTTGCTCTTGTCTGCAATGAGAAGCATCCAGCATGTCCAGGGGACCTGGATGAAGGCAGGAGGCTACAGGAAGGGACTAGCCCAAGATCTACACACACACACACACACACACACACACACACCCGTGCCATGTTGTCTCTAAGCAGAGTATTCTGTCCCCCAAGAGGTAGACTGGTGGAGAGGGGTCTGCATGGAGGCTGCTGAGATCCCCATTTTACAGATGAAAACACTGAGGCTTAAAGAGGGAAAGGTCTTCCTCCAGGGCAGTATGAAGACCCAGGTCCTCCAACACCCAGGTCTTCACCAGCCCCAACGGGGGCCCCTTGTTCTAGGAGGTGAGGGGACTCCCAGGTGGAAGCCTCGGGCTTTAGGAGCTTGTGGTGAGCCTGGGGGCTCTGAAGAGCTGGGGGGTGGGGGGGGGTGTCAAAGGGACTCACAGCCATACAGCTCTGATGCCTGTTTCTTGTCCTCTGCACCCCACCTGTCTGCCCTCTCGGAGAGAGGAATGGGACCTGCGATCTCTGAGATCTGGGTCCTGAAGCCACCCCACACCCCAGCTCCCTGGTACAGTTCAAAGGGACAGTGCTCATCTTGGGCCCCCAGGCCCCCCAGGCAGAGGAAGCAACTCTGTAGGGAGAGAGAGGGGAGCGGGCTTTACTGTCCAGAGTCAGTCATAGCGGGCAGGCTGGACCTAAAAGGGTACAAGATGTGGTTTCAGAGAAGGAGACACCACAGAACTTCGTCTGTCCAAGGACTGCAAGTTGGCACCTGGGCAGTCACAGGTCCAAACCCAAGCAGGCCAGAGGTTCCGCCCCAGCCCCATGCCAGTCCCTGCCGGGCTTTCTCTCCCAGAGTCATGGTGCCTAGCAGTCCCCGAATTGCTTGAGCTCATCTGGGATGCCCTGCACCCACACTCACAACTGGCCAGACTTGGCCATCGCTGACCAGATCAGGACTCACAGAGACTAAGCTCCCTGGTCTCTATGACCCCCTTCCTTCACGATTTTGAGAAGCAGAGCGTGTATTTATATCTGATGTAAACACTCTAGTGACGAGAAGTCCTGAATTAAAGCTGTTTATTCCTTTTGTGCCCATGGCTCTGCTCCCTGGCTGGCGAGCGGGGTCTGTGAGGGCTCTGAGCCAAGCAGGGGGCCTCCACATCCCTCCCTCTCCAAGAGATGGATCTGGGCTCCCCAGGAAGGCTCTGGAGCCCAGTCCAGTTCTGCTGAACAGAGGGTTAAGGGATGCGGTGCTGAATTGTGGGCCAGATGTGGGCACAGTGGCCTGCGGTGGGCATGGGGTGCACAAATCAGCAGAATGGTGGTCTTTGCCCTCTTCTTGGTTCCACTTCACCTGCTCAGGGAGAGGACGTGGACAGGAATGCAGATCAGAATGGCCAACAGCATCTGGTTGTATCACCAGAGGTATGCCTTCGAGGTAGAGGGAGAAGATGGAGCAGTTGGTTGAGAGAGAGAGATCAGCGCTTCTTGTGGATAAACTAAGTGCCTGCTAGGCTGTCCCACTTTCTGAATCTCTGACAACGCCCCACCCCCACCTCCACCCCAGGCCACTGATGGGTAAACCAGTAGGTGCTCACTTCCACATGGCTAAGTCTGCCGCCAGGCCAGGAAAGTACTGATGTGGCAGGGGGGCTGAGTGGCGGAGATTCATCTCTCCGAATTTGGCACCCTTGGAGGCCGGAGGCGTCTGGAGGTAAATATTAGGGCCTGTTTAGATTAGTCTCCATTAATAGCAGGAAATGTCAGCTCGGCGCCAGCCCAGCTTCCTGTAGACCCTGACGCCTGAAGTGGGAGCGGGGTGTCCATAGGAGATGGATACCCCCCTCATTCTGATTTATAGCCTGGTCCACAAGTGACCCAGGACTTCCAGATCCCCCAAGCGCTGTGTGGCCCATGCCTGCGACTCCCTCCCTCCTACTCTCCCTACATGCTGCTCAAGGGCGCCTCCTGCATGCAGTCTCAGGACGCCCAGCTCTGCATTACCAGGGCTGTCAGGACCCGGCTCCCCAGTCCACTTAAGATGCACTGAGCCAGGAAACAAGAATGTTTTGCGGCCGTATGGCAGCCCCCAGAGTACCCCCTAGGATGAGAGGAAAGTACAAGAACCCAGTGAAGATACAAAAGGCTAGTCCATGGGGTCAGACTCTCAAGCCCGAGGGGTTGCATTCCCATTTCACAGAACAGAAAACTGAGGCTTGGAGACATAGCGGGGGCAGCCCAAGGCTGCGCAAGAACCTAAAAGAGATGCTCGAATTCCGTCTTTCTGGCCTCTCCTGACTGGGGGAAGCCCTTCTTACCCCCGTGATGGAAGCCCTTCTGAAAGTGATGTGTCAGGAAGGAGGGGCCAGTCAGTCAGGTGTCAGCAGGGACCCTCTCACCTGTAGAGGTGGGACCTGGTGCAGAGCGAGAAAAGGCAAGTGAAGGAGACTAGGGGTTGCCGCCGCTGCTCCAGACAGGCAATGTGGGACAGGTGAGGCGCCCTGTCTGAACAGCCCCCACCTACACATCACCATGCGCCCTCCAGTCGACCATTTCTCCCAGTGAGATACCAGCGCCCCCTCTGGCAGCCCCAATCCCATTCGTTCCTAGGGTTGTAGTACCCCCCTTTACCCTCTTCACCTAGTCTGGATTCTGTGTGGGGGTGGGTCTAAACCCAGCCCTGGGAACCTCCCCCTCTGGGCGGTCCACCTGAATGGCCCCACCCCTCCTGGGCGACTCCTGACAGACCACACCCCCTCTGGGCGGTCCACCCGACTGGCCCCACCCAAATTGGGCGCCTCCCTGAAAACCACACACCCCCTGGGGCCTCGAAGGGCCTCGAAGGGCCCCTTCCCTCCTGGAGAAGTACACATCACCTCTGGACGGTCCGTCCTGTGGACCCCACCCCCTCTTTCCAGAGAGGTTTGATTTCCCCACATACACTTTCCCCAGCCAGTACAGACCTCTGGGCCCAGCTGTGCCCATTCTCAGTGGACTCATCCTGTCAGCCCCATCTGCCCCCCTCGCTGAGTCCCTAGGGTACTCCGTCTACCTCACCGGAGTGGTCTCACCTGGGGCGGCGGCGGCGGCAAGGGAAGGGCAGGGAAGGAAGATCCAATCAGCCAGGCAAGCACGGACTTCCTTGTGAACAGTATCTACATATAGTAGCAAGCGCAAGTAAATTCTACAGATTAGTAAGCATAATAAGCAAGCCTGCATTTACCTTGGTGATTGGGTAATCCGCCCCCTGATTATAAGGGGATAGGGAGCACAGTGGACAGCTAGTGGGTGGGCCTCAGGACACCCGCCAAGCCCTGCCTACCTGGGCCTCAATTTCCCCGTCTGGAACAAGTGGTTCCTACCCTGGCCTTAGAGGCCTGCTCCCTCCCCTCCACGCCCTAATGTTAATCCCTCTTGGGTTCACATCCAGGGCTGAAATGGTAGGGTGTGTCTTCCTCCTTCCGCAGCAGCCCCTGGGGCTCCTTAAAGGCACCCCAAGCCCAGGAAGACATCAGGATCTCCAACGGAATTAGAGTGAGTGGGCTTGGGGCGTGTCATTAATCCTGAAGGGGTCCTCATGTCGCTAGGACACACCCCTTAGCAACCCCCCACCAAATCCTGGCATCACTGATATCAGTAAGCCAGCGTTAGGACCAAGCCACATCTCCAGCCTTGAGGGAGCCTCAGATTCCTCTTCTGTGAAGTGGGATCATCAACACTCTGTCCTGGGAGGTGCACTTGTGGTGTGTGTGTGTACGTTGTCCCCAACCCTCCCTTCAACTATCAAAGCTGGGCTAGGAAGAAGTACAGTCAGAATGTTCCTTAGGAGCAAAAATGGCAAGACTTTGTCTCACTTTGGACATCTTATCTATCAGAAGGGACCTGTCCCTGGAAAAGGACATCAAGATGGGTAAAGTAGAGGGTCAGTGAGAAAGAGGACCCTCTACAAGATAGACGGACACAGTGGTTGTGATCATGCTTTGTTGTGTTCTGCATGGGGTTGCTATGGAGCTGAATCAACAATAAACTAAACAGTAGAAGGCAATAGAGCTGCCAGCTAGTTCAT